CTTCTTCCTGCATCCCCCCATCCTGCTCGTGCTACCTCCTGCAAGGGGGGGCGGGGAGGAGGAGGAGGAGGAGGAGGAGGAGGAGGAGGAGGAGGGAGGAGAAAGGGGGAGGAGGAGGAGGAGGAGGAGGAGGAGGAGGAGGAGGAGTAGGAGGAGGAGAAGGAGCAGGAGGAGGAGGAGGGAGGTGGAGGGGGAGGAGGAGGAGGATGAGTAGGAGTAGGAGTAGGAGTAGTAGTATTAGAAATAGTATTCTTCTTAGTGGTGTTGTTATTAATATTAGTAGTAGTATTAGTTTTGTTAATGTTATTATTATCATGATTATCATTATGGTTATTATTATTATTAAGAATATTATGTATTAGTATTATCATTATGAGTATTATGATTATTATGTTTATTTTGATTATTATGATTACTCGTATTAGTAGTAGTAGTAGTAGTAGTAGTAGTAGTAGTAGTAGTAGTAGTGTTAGTGTTAGTGTTAGTGTTAGTGTTAGTGTTAGTGTTAGTGATCGTGTTAGTGTTAGTGTTAGTGTTAGTAGTAGTAGTAGTAGTAGTAGTAGTAGCAGTAGTAGTAGTAGTAGTAGTAGTAGTAGTCGTAGTAGTAGTAGTAGTAGTAGTAGTAGTCGTAGTAGTAGAGTAGTAGTAGTGAGTAGTAGTAGTAGTAGTTAGTAGTCGTAGTAGTAGTAGTCAAGTTAGTAGTAGTAGTAGTAAAGTATAGTAAAAGTAGTCAGAAAGCGTAAGTGTATAAGTAAAACAAACACATCACGGTTAGTAGTAGTTATTAGATAGTAGTAGTAGTGTAGTGGTAGTAGTTAGTAGTAGTAGTATGTATATAGTTAGAAGTTAGTAGTAGTAGTAGTAGTAGTGTAGTGGTAGTAGTAGTGGTAGTAGGTAGTGGCAAGGGTGGTAGGGTGGTAGTAGCAGTAGCGGTGGCAGTGGTAGTAGTAGTAGTAGTAGTAGTAGTAGTAGTAGTAGTAGTAGTAGTAGTAGTAGTAGTAGTAGTAGTAGTAGTAGTAGTAGTAGTAGTAGTAGTAGTAGTAGTAGTAGTAGTAGTTAGTGTAGTAGTTAGTAGTAGTTAGTAGTAGTTAGTCGTAGTCGTAGTCGTAGTAGGAGTAGTAGTAGTAGTAGTAGTAGTAGTAGTCGTAGTAGTAGTAGTAGTAGTAGTAGTAGTAGTAGTAGTAGTAGTAGTAGTAGTAGTAGTAGTAGTAGTAGTAGTAGTAGTAGTAGTAGTCGTTAGTAGTAGTAGTAGTAGTAGTAGTAGTAGTCGTAGTAGTAGTAGTAGTAGTAGGTAGTAGTCGTAGTAGTAGTAGTAGTAGTCAGTAGTAGTAGCAGTTAGTTAGTTAGTAGTGTAGTAGAGTAGTAGAGTAGTAGTAGTAGTGTAGGAGAGGAGGAGGAGGAGGAGGAGAAGGAGGAGGGGCAGGAGGAAAAGGGATAGAGAAAGGACAGAGGGAGCGGAGGAGGAGGAGGAGGAGTAGCAGGAGGGAGGAGGAGGAGCAGGAGGAGAGTAAGGGAAAGGAGGAGGACGGAGGAGGAGGGGGAGGGGACGGAGGATGGAGAAGGATGCGGAGTGGGAACGGCCCCCTCCCCCCTCCAAATCCGATCCAGCCCGCCGACCCCCTCCTGCGGTGGCGTCAGAAACCAGGGCCGACCGCGCCGACGCTGGCGCGCCAGCTGCCCGAGGAAGGGAGGGAGGGAGGGAGGGAGGAAGGGAGGGAGGGAGGAAGGAAGGAAGGGAGGGAGGGAGGGAGGAAGGGAGGGAGGGAGGGAGGAAGGAGGGGACAGGAGAGGAACAGGAGGGCGGCAGGGAGGGCGGGGGAAGGAGGCGGCAGGGACGGGGGGGGGGAAGGGGGAAGGAGCAGGAGGAGCAGGGAGGCGGCAGGGAGGGGGCGGCAGGGGGAGGCCAGGGAGGCCCGGGAGGGAGGGAAGGGAGAGATGGGGCATGGGGCCCCTCCCCGAGCGACGGCGGGGGGGGGCGGCGGGTCTTCGTCTCCGACGGCAACGAGGCCCCCGCGCGCGGCCTGGCCGGCGGCCGGCTTGCCGCCTCGCGTGCTGGCACCGCCGCCGTCGTCGTCGTCGCCGTCGCTGTCGCCGTCGTCGTCGTCGTCGTCGCCGTCGTCGTCGCCGTCGTCGTCGCCGTCGTCACCGTCGTCGCCGTCGTCGCGGTCGTTGTCGGCGTCGTCGTCGCCGTCGTGGTGGTCGTCGTTGGCGGCGGTGGCGTCGTCTTCTGTTGTCGCATTGCTCGTCGTCTGAATTTGCTCACGCTTCGTCGCCAGATGATGCTGATGCTGATGATGATGATGATGATGATGATGATGATGATCGTGATCGTGATGCTGATGATGATGATGATGATTCTTATTAGTATTATTATTGTAGTTATTATTAGTATGATCATTATTATTAGTATTGTGATGGTGATGATGATGATGATGATGATGATGATGATGATGATGATGATGATGCTGATGATGATGATGATGATGGTGTGGTGATGATGATGCTGATGATGATGATGCGCATGATGCTGATGGTGATGATGATGATGGTGATGCTGCTGATGATGATGATGCTGATGATGATGATGCTGATGATGATGATGCTGATGATGATGATAAGGAGGGGGAGGAGGAGGATGCTGATGATGATGATGATGAGGAAGCTCGTCGTCTGAATTTGCTGTCTTTTCTTCGCCAGATGATGATGCAGATGATGATGATGATGACGATGCTGATGATGATGATGATCATGACGATGATGATGATGATGATGATGATGATGATGATGATGATGATGATGATGATGCTGTTGCTCGTCGTCTGAAGTTGCTGTCTTTTCGTCGCCAGATGATGATGATGCTGATGAAGATGATGATGATGATGATGATGATGATGCTGATGATGATGATGCTGATGATGATGATGATGATCATGATGATGATGACGATGCTGATGATGATGATTATTATTATTATTAGCATTATGATCATTATTATTATTGTGATGGTGATGATGATGATGATGATGATGAGCCTGATGATGATGATGATGATGATGATGATGGTGGGGGTGATGATGATGCTGATGATGATGATGCGCATGCTGTTGTTGGTGATGATGATGCTGATGATGATGATGCTGCTGATGATGATGGTGTTGATGATGCCGATGCTGATGCTGATGGTGCTGATGATGATGATGATGACGATGACGATGGTGATGATGATGATGATGATGATGATGATGATGATGATGATGATGATGATGATGATGATGCTGATGATGATGATGATGGTGATGCTCATGATGATGATCAGGAGGAGGAGGAGGAGGAGGAGGAGGAGGAGGATGCGCTGTTGATGATGATGAGGATGATGATGCTGAGGTGGAGGAGGAGGAGGAGGTGGAGGAGGAGGAGGATGAGGAGGAGACGGGTGAGGCGGGACAGGAGTGGGACACCGATCAGACTGAGGACGACATATTTACATTGATTCTCACGGGCGGGGCTGTGTTGTGTCCAGCGCCGCCAGTCCATCAGGCCGAGGGTTACGAGGAGCTTGCTCCCCAGGCATGTCTTCCAGCGTCCTGGCAAGCGTCTCCCACACAGGTTTCCGGTGCTCATGGCCTGCGTGCAGTCTGGGTATGGGACGCCACGAGTGTGAAGATGTCGTGGCCGTCCAGGCCAATCTGTAGCCAGCAGTGAGGCGAGAGCACGATTCCTTGACAGATCCGGGCGGGGCTACGAGGGCAAATCCGATCCAGAGCGCTCTGGAACCCAGAGCGTCCCAGAAGCGCTCTGCGAAGGCCGCGGCGCGCGATGCTCCTCCAGGGCCGTAGGATGTCGGATATTCTCGACTTCTCTGTCCTGGCTCCTCGCTCTGTCCTCGATCTATCCTCCCCCGTTCTTATCCTCGTCCTGGCTTCGTCTTATGGATGGTGGCCAGCCCTCGGGCTGCCCGTGCCCCGCACGGGACTCCTCTGTGGTCTTCTTTGCTGTCGCTGTGGGACACAGGACTCCTCCTCCCCCTCCTCCTCCTCCTCCTCCTCCTCCTCCTCCTCCTCCTCCTCCTCCTCTCCTCCTCCTCCTCTTTTCCTCCTCCTTCTCCTCCTCCTCCCCCCCCTCCTCCCAGAAACTTGGTTTGGACACGATGTCGGACTGTCAGGGCACCACAAGAATATGGATTCGTGGTGGTGGAGAGTCCCACAAATGGTGTTCTGGCAGGGATCAGGATCGCCAAGACGCAACAACAACGGTGATCCGTGGGGTTGAACTCCCAGGAATGGTTCCCCGGCACAGTTCAGGATTTGCAAACGGTTGTTTTCCAACGGGGCATTTCCTTGAAGATGGAGCTTGGAGGGAGGGCGCATTGCATTGCAACGTCGTTGATCAGTCCTGGGTTTACACTGGTTCTCCTCCTCCTCCTCCTCCTCCTCTGTGGTCTTCTTTGCTGTCACCGTGGGGCCCCTCCACCAAAACGGTGCCAGGGAAGGAGTTGCCGGTGCTCGCCCGTACCAGGGGAGGCAAGGCGTTCCGCCGCGCTCGGTGCCCCGCTGCGCGCGCGGGGGGGCAGGGCCTGCCAGGGAAGGGGGCGAGGAAGGGTAGGGCGAGGAAGAGGACCACAACGACGACGACGCAGACGCCGACGACGTTGACGACGACGACGACGACGACGACGACGACGACGACGCAGACGACGACGACGTTGACGACGACGACAACGACGACGACGCAGACGACGACGACGACGTTGACGACGACGACGACGCAGACGACGACGACATTGACGACGACGACGCAGACGACGACGACGTTGACGACGTTGACGACGACGACGTTGACGACGTTGACGACGACGACGTTGACAACGGCGACGACGACGACGACGACGACGACGACGACAACGATGGCGACGACGACGACGCCGACGACGACGACGACGACGACGACGACGGACGGCCTGGGAGGCGAGAGGGGGAGGCCGCCAGTGCTTGTGCCGGGAGGACACCCGGGAGACCGAGCTGAGGGCCATCTCCGAGAAGGTGAGGGTGCTGGCGCTCCCCAAGCGGGAGGGGCTGATCCGCGCAAAGATGAAGGGCGTCGCCATGGCGAAGGCACGGCAGGGATCGCGGGGTCAGGCGAGGGAGACAAGGATGAAACGAGGGAGGGGGAGCGGGAGATGCATGTCGAGGGAGGGGGGAGGGGGGGAGGAACGGTTGGAGGCGAGGGTCGCAGTGAGGCAGGGGCGGCAGAAGAAGAGTGGGAAGCAGGGCAGGCGAGGGTGCAGGGAAGGGAGGAGGAAGGGAGGAGGAAGGAGGAGGAGGAGGGAGGAGGAGGAGGAGGAGGAGGAGGGGAGGAGGAGGAGGGGAGGAGGAGGAGGAGGAGGAGGCGGAGGAGGAGGAGGAGGAGGAGGAGGAGGAGGAGGAGGAGGAGGAGGAGGAGGAGGAGGGGAGGAGGAGGAGGAGGAGGGGAGGGGGAGGAGGAGGAGGAGGAGGAGAGGAGGGAGGATGAGGAGGAGGAGGAGGAGGAGGAGGAGGAGGAGGAGGAGGAGGAGAGGAGGAGGAGGACGAGGAGGAGGGGGAGGAGAAGGAGGAGGAGGGGGATGATGAGGAGGATGAGGAGAACCAGTGTAAACCCAGGACTCATCAACGATGTTGCAATGCACCCTTCCTCCAAGTTCCATCTTCATAGTCCCCTACTAGGACCCATTTTCACTGAAGGAAGTGCCCCGTTGAAAACAACCGTTTTCAAATCCTGAACTGTGCCAGGGCACCATTCCTGGGAGTTCAACCCCACGGATCACCGTTAGTGTTGCGTCTTGGCGATCCTGATCCCTGCCAGAACACCCTTTGTGGGACTTCACCACCACGAATCAGTATTCTTGTTGTGCCCTGACAGTTCGACATCGTGCCCAAACCAAGTTTCTGGAAAGTTAACCATGATACTCCTTGCGAGTGTTGCATTTGTTCTGACGCATGCGCGCGGCGTTAAGGCGAGAACCACATTGTGAAAAGGAACCGACCTCCATCCGTAAAATTGTTTCAATATTCAATAATGAATGGGCGTGGAGATAAGGCGAGAACCACCTTTTGAAAACGACCCGCCCTCCATCCGTGAAGGCGCTCAGGCCAGAGCCACATTTTGAAAACGACGTGCCACACACCCGAGAAACTTCGAATGTCGGTTAAGATGGATCTGTGCGGCGCTACTGCCAGAGCCACTCTTTGAAAACCACCCGCCCTCCATCCCTGCAGCTGCTGCAAACTCCAAGCTTCAGGGCCATGAGTCGTGAGCAAGTCTCAGGCGAAACGCCCACCCCGCCCTTCGACTAGCCTCGGGGTGCGACAGGGAGGAGTTATTCAGAGAAGTGGCAGTGGAGCAGGCGAAGGTGGGGACGCTGTGAGGCGAGGTTCGCCCCGCGCGTCTGTTTTTTGTTATTGTTTTTTGTCTTGCGCCGTCGCCCCCCGCGGGAGCCCGCCCCGTCTATGTGCTAATTTGTGTCCAGGGCCTGGGCGCCCCCGTGTTGACTTGTGTGCGTGGGGGGTGCTGCGCTGTCTTCGCCAGGGCCCCGCAGGAGGCCCTGGGCTCAGCTGCCCTTCCTGCGCCGCCGTGGCCGACAGGGCCCCTGCCCACAGAGTCGTGGGCTCAGTTGCCACGTGGGGGGGGGGGGGGGGCGAACGACCGGCGCAGTCGTCGCCCGTGGTGGGGCCGTCGTTCGCTCCTGGCTCCCGACCAGGCGTGGCCCACTTGGCACACGAGTGCAAGCACGAGCCCAGTGGTCGCCTGCGCCGCCGAGGAAGATGTAGATAATTACGCATTGTTAATTTTTAAGTTTTCGATTTTTTTGTTTGCGGGGCCACGATCCTTTCATTTCTTGGGCTTCTTCCTGGCCACAAGGGGGCCAGGAACAATTAGAAACGAGCAGAAGTAGAACTCAGCACGATTAGAAATGAACGACGTGTGCACCGTCCGATAGGGCCTCCTTCCTCTTCCTCCCCCGGCCGCCGCCTCTCCTCCTGTCTCCGCCGGCGCAGGCGCAGTTCGCTACCGCGGAGCCCGCCGTCGCTCTGACCGCCGCGAGCCTCGTGCTGCGGCGGGCCAACGGACACGTGGGAGCGTGGCGCTTGCCCCCCCCCAGGGTCCCGCGCATGCGCTTCCCACCATTACACACTAGTCATTTCTAATTTTTCGAAAGTTCTTGGATTTTCTGGGGGGCGAGATCCTTTCATTTCTAATTGTTCTACCCTGGGCCTCTTCCTGGCCACTAGGGGGCCAGGAACAGTTAGAAACGAACACACTTAGAAATGAACACGATTAGAAATTAACGACGTGTACTTGGCCAGCCAACAATTAGCGACTGTTCGGGGCCCGCGCGATGGTGGCGCAGGTGCAGAGCTCTCGAATCGGGGAGGGCGTGTGTGCAGAGCTCTCGCTGGTGGGCCGCCAGGTAAAGCGGAAAATCATGCATTTTCGTGCGGTCGTACGTGTACTGACATTCCGTGTCGCTTCGTGCTAGCGGAAATACCGATATCATTCGTATTGTCATGAGTGATCGCAGTCATTCGTATCCGTCGTAGTTTCTTGGTCGCAGTCGTGTCAACATGGGCGCTCGTATTTGTATGTGCCGATACTTTTGCGTTTTATCATGTTTGCTTACATTCGCATTCGCATTCGCATTATTCGCATCATCCGCGCAGTCATATTTCTAAGATGCGTATTATTAGTGCGCGTGGTAGTCGGAGTATTGGATTGCCTCCGAATTCGTATATGTTGTTGGTTGTTGTTGCGCCCGTAACAAGAAAATTCTGCGTCGTGGTAGTTGTAAGGGCCAGGACGTGGACTGCCGGGCCCCTGTGGGAAGCTGCGTCGGGCCTTCTGCCGCAAAGCTGTCATTTTTTAATGGTCCTGATTCCTGCGGTTGCCCAAAGGCATAAAACCTGAGAGAACGCACCGGAAGTCGAATCTGGAGGGTCTTCGAGCTTCCGCGTGGCCGGAGCTTGGTCCAGGCTCCCGTCCTGTTCTTCCTCGAGGCGCACTGCAGAGCCAGCCCGCACTGGTTGGAGCCGCTGCTGCAGCGGCTGAAGCTGTTCCCGAAAGCGCTCGTCATGCCGACGCTGGAGGGTCCTCTCCTCTCCGCCTTCCCCTCCTCCTTCGACGTTTTTGGTGGGTTTTCTTTGCTTCCTCGGGGGCCTTCGGCACCAGGGACGGATCCGCCTCTTACATCCTCCTGGTCCGAGCCCGAGTGTCCGAATCGAGATGCGGAGTCTCACCCCCGAGAAGCATGCGGGATTCACATTTTGGGCAGGGGCAGGGCAAAAGGCGGGCCTGACCGCAAGAGCGAAGAGCAAAGTGGAGGGCGAAGATCGATGGGAGAACGCAAGTGCATACAAAGCTGGCCTGCAAGTCTTAGCTCACACCCCTGTGGTTCCACTCTCGCACGCTTTCTTGCACCCTTCCTGGGGGCAAGTTTCTCATGGTGTCCGCGCAGAGTTGGCCGAGTTAGTGGCGCACTGACAAGGAAGCTGCCCGAGACGGCACGGACTACGGAGCGAGGGGGAGGAGGGGGAGGAGGGGGAGGAGGAGGAGGAGGAGGAGGAGGAGGAGGAGGAGGAGGAGGAGGCCGCTCGACTTCCGCGTTCCCGCGATCACGCCGCTCAGTAGCTCTCGATGTCTGTAAAACCAGCGTGTATATATACATCTGTGTATATATACAAACATGTGTATGACACATATGAAGCAGTAGCGCAGCTAGAAGGTAGCTACGTTTGGCTGTCCGTCGGGCCAGCCGCCCGCGGAGGCTTGGAAGCTGCAGATGGCAGCGGCCCGTGGCCCGTGGCCTTTACGTACCTCCTGTCGTCGTTGTCGCCGTGGCCCCTTGTGGTCCTCGCTCGTCGTCCTCTCGCTCGTTCCGCCTACCCTCCTCCCCGGAGGAGGAGCACGGGCAGGTGGGGCGTGACGATATGGCAGAGGAGGAGCATAATGAGAAGGAGGAGGAGGAGGAGGAGGAGGAGGAGGAGGAGGAGGAGGAGGAGGAGGAGAGGGAGAGGAATAAGGAGAAGAAGAAGAAGAAGAAGAAGAAGGAGGGGAACAGACATTTGAAGTGATGACCTTCTTGCCCAATTCATTTGTCGTGCGTGGATGGGGTCGAGCCACCCGCGAGGGAAACTGCGCAGGCGACTGATTCAAACTGAAGGGGGGACAGGGAGAGGTCTCCACAAGTCTCTGACGTCACCGTCGGAGGTATCCAGAGGCCTCTGCAGTTTCTTACGGACCCAGCAAGGACCAAACATGTCTCCGAGCCTCGATTACGGATCGAGGAGCAGATGGAGAAGGACTACAGCCATCAGAATTTGTAAGAAGGAACGTGCATGTTCGTGGACTCCAGATGTCGCTCAAGAAAGTCAAGAACGTGGACTGGACTGGACCCTGGGCTTCCCCGTCGAATGCTTGTATACCTGGCCCTGGTGCCGTCTACGGAAACGCTTGGAGCGAAGGCCGTTTTTCCTGGCGTAAAGGCCTCCTAGTTCCATAAGCGCTTGGAACGAAGGCCATTTCCCTGGTGCGAAGTATTTTTTGTTAAAAATAAACAACCAAACAACTTTGAGCTGGCGTGTGTGTAGAGGAGTAGCAGCTAAGGCGAGCCAGGGCGTGCTCCGATCCCTCCTTTTGGGTCGCTCCAGTGGCACCCTCCCCGGCCCCTGCTGCCGAGGCGCTCGGCGACGAGGGGCACGCCCGGAGGCTCCGAAGAGGGGGCGCGGGGAGGATCGGGCACCGAGAGCCCGGATGTCTGTGGGCGTGTTTGGTCCTGGCTGTGCTTTCGGAGGCCTGCGGAGGCCTCCGGGGGAGCATCTGGGACCTCCGGAGGACGAGGAGGAGGAGGAGGAGGAGGAGGAGGAGGAGGAGGAGGAGGAGGAGGAGGAGAGGAGGAGGAGGAGGAGGAGGAGGAGGGGGAGGAGGAGGAAGGGAACGATGCGGAGTAGGAGGAGGAGGAGGAGGAGGAGGAGGAGGAGGAAGAGGAGGAGGAGGAAGGGGAGGAGGAGAAGGAGGAGGAGCAGCAGCAGGAGGAGGAGAGGAGGGAGGAGAAGGAGGAGCAGGACGGGTGTACCTATTCGGCCCCTTCGCCTTGAGGATGGCATCCCCGCGAACGACTGGCAGGGATACGTCGAGGCCTTGCCTCCGCCCTGGGTGAGGGAGGCAGGGGGGGGGGACTTGGAGGACCGAGACTGGGAGGGAGGGAGGGAGGGTGGAGACTGGAGGATTGAGGGTGGGAGGATGGAGTGTGGGAGGGTGGGAAGATGGGAGGGAGCATGGGTGGGAGGGGAGGAGGGTGGGATGGCAAGATGGAGGACGGGATCCTGATGGCAGGTGGGAGGGTTGCAGGGATGGAGGGAGGGATGGAGGGTGGGAGCATGGAGGGAGGGATGGGTTGGGAGGGCACATCAGTGAAAAGTCGTCGTCGTCGTCGTCGGCGTCGTCGTCGTCGTCGTCGTCGTCGGCGTCGGCGTCGGCGTCGGCGTCGTCGTCGTCGAAGGGTGGCGTGAGGGGTCCGAGACCTTCCCGGGGCCGTCGCCTCGGCGGGCCAGGCCGCCGCGCGCCTGGGCCCCTCCTCGAGGCGCGGCGTCGCGCAGGGAGCGACGGCGGCGCGGCCACGCCAGGGACGGTGCGCGTGTCCGCGCGCGCTCGGGGGGGGGCGCGGGGCGGATGGAATGGGGGGGCGGATGGGCGGGTGGACGGACGGACGGATGCATGGATGGGGATGATGATGATGATAATGACGAAGGTGGTGGTGATGATGATGATAGTGATTGTGATGATGCTGCAGATGATGATAATGATGGTCATGATGTTGATGCTGATGTTGTTGATGATGGTGATCCTGATGGTACTGGTGATGATGATGATGTTGACGATGATGATGATGCTGATGTTGCTGTTGATGATGATGATGATACTGATGATCATGATGTTGATGCTGCTGACACGTATGCTGATGTTGCTACTGATGATGGTGAGTATGTTGATGATGTTGATGCTGACGCTCGTGCTGCTGCTGATGATGATGAGGTTGATGATGAGGATGGTGGTCATGATGATGAGGAAACTTATGATGATGCTGATGCTGATGATGTTGATGATGTTGATGATGCTGATGCTGATGCTGGTGATGATGCTGCTGATGATGATGGTGATGATGGTGAAGAGGATGGGGCTGATGCTTATGCTGCTGTTGCTGATGATGCTGCTGATGCCGATGCTGATGCTGATGATGCTGATGATGATGACGATGATGCTGATGCTGATGATACTGATGATGATGATGCTGATGCTGATGATGCGGATGCTTATCATCATCATGATGCTGATGTTGATGTTGATGATGATGACGATGATGCTGATAATACTTGTGAGTATGATGCTGATGTTGATGATGATGATGACGCTGATGATGACACGGATACTGTTGCTGCTGATATTGATGCTGATATTGCTGCTGATGATGATGATTATGATGATGTTGCTGATGCGATGCTGATGTTTCTGCTGATAAGGGTAGTGATGATGATGACGATGATGATGAGTATGATGATGGTGATGATGATGTTGAATGTTGATGATGGTGGTGGTGATGATGGTGATGATGACGGTAATGATTATTATGCTGGTGATGATGTTGATGGTGATGATGTTGATGCTGATGATGATGATGCTCATGCTCGTGTTGTTGATGCTGATGGTGATAGTACTGATGATGATGTTGATGATGCTGACGATGATGATGGTGATGCTGGTGATGAGAGTGAGGCCGATGCTGATGCTGCTGGTGCGGATTATGCTGATGAGGATGCTGACGATTATGATGATGATGGCAATCATGATCATGATTATGATGCCGATGATGCCGACGCTGCTGATGATGATACTGATGCTGATGATGACGATACGCATGATGATGCTTGTGAGTAGGATGAAGCTGACGATGATGGTGATAGTGGTGGTGGTTATGATGATGCTGGTGATGATGCTGATGATGGTGCTGATGATGTTGATATTGATGTTGATGATGCTGGTGGTATGGTGATCGTGAGGAGGAGAATGCTGCTGCTGCTGTTACTGATGACGATGATGCTTGTGATGATGAGGATGATGAAGAGCAGGAGGAGGAGGATGAGGACGAGGAGGAAAGGAGGATGACGATGCTTCTTGTGGTGATATCGATGATGCTGCTGGCGATGATGCTGATGATATCGGTGATGGCGATGATCATGCTGATGATGTTGGCGATGCTATAGATGGCTGACATGCTGACTGTGATCATGGTGATGGGGATGCGGGCTGTGACGGTGATGGTGGTGCTGATGACGACGATGATGATGATGATGATGATGATGCTGATGATGATGATGATGATGATGATGATGATGATGAAGGTGGTGACGATGATGATGAGGAGGAGGAGGATTCTTCTTCGGACCATGTTTATAATGGTGATGCTTGACATGACGACTACATATGCGATGGCGCTGATAGTGGTGGTGACGATGACGATGACCATGTTTTGGAGGAGGGGGGGAGGAGGGAGGGGAAAAGGAGGAGAAGGCGGATGCTGCTGCTAATGATGAAGGTGATGGTGATGGTGATGATGATGCTGATGATGATGATTATGATGGTGGTTATGATGATGATGGCGATCATGATAAGGGCGATGATGGTGATGAAAAGGAGGAGGAGTTGGAGGAGGAGGAACGGTTGACGGGCGGAGAGCTCCTGCTCCGTGCTCCTCGCTCAGTCTGTGAGGGGATGACGGGGGAAGGATAGGAGAAGACGATGGAGGAATGAAATGAGGACGAGGGCGCGGGCTACAGACCCGATTGCCAGCACCGCCAACAGACTCGTTTTTCCACAGCTTCAAGGGTTTGAAGAGGGGGGGAAAGGAGGACGATGGATGGGGGTAGGACGAGGTTGAGGGAGGTATGGGGGAGGAACGGGGCGGACGCCTTAAGAACGATGCCGTCGGCGACGTCTCCGTCGCGGCCGCCGCCGTCGCCGCCACCGCTGTCTCAGCCGTCGCCGCCGCCGCAGCCGCAGCCGCCATCGCCACTGTCGTCGTCGTCGTCTTCGTCGTCGTCGTCCTTTTCGTCGTCGTCCTTATCGTCGTCGTCGTCGTCGTCGTCAGCTTCGTTGTTGTCGCTGTCGTCGTCGTCAGCGTCGTCGTCATCGTCGTCTCGTCGTCGTTGTTACCTGCGTCGTCGTCGTCGGCGTCGGCCGCGCCGTCCGCCTGTGGTGGGCACAGCCAGGGAGCGCCCCACGAAAAAGGCGTCGCCCGGGGCCTACTGGCGCTACGAGTGGAACATGAACCTGGTCCAGATCAGCAACGCGTCCCTGGCTGCTCCCGAGGACCGGCGGCGAGCGAGGGGGGGAAACGAGAAGGAGAAGGCCTTCTCAGAAGGCGGCGGACCTTCTCAGAAGCCCTCTGGCCTTCTGAGAATTTTTTTTCTGTGTTCGGGGAAGGCTTGGAAAACGTCTCGGAAGGCTGGGGGACTTCCGAGCCTTCTGGGAAGGCCTCCTCCTCATTTTCCCCCCCCCTCGCTCGCCGCCGAGAGGAGGAGGAGGGTCGATGGAGGATGGAGGAGGAAGGGAGGGGTACTAGGGGAACAAAAAGTGACATAAACATGAAAACTCGGAGGTCCGCGCGGATTTCTCGGATCGGCTCTGGGGCCCCCGGCGGCGCCTCCGGCGCCGCCCCTGGCGCGCTCCGCGCGCCAGGGAGGGGTGTCCAGCGCCGATCCGAGAAATCCGCGCGGGTCTCCGAGTTTGTATGTTTATGTCACTTTCTGTTCCCCTGAGAAGCACGACCACAACTACATACCAGGCGGGGGGGATTCCGTGGAGTCGCGGCTGCTGCTTGCTGCCTCTCCGGAGCTCCAGCCTCACACACGCAGGGCGCGGCCCGAGGCTCTGGAGGACCTCGAGTGGGTGCGGAGAGCCCTGGCCCGCCTGTGCTCGACATGGGGATGAGGAGAAGGAGGGAGGAGGGGGAGGGAAGGAGGAGGAGGAGGCGGAGGAGGAGGAGGAGGAGGAGGAGGAGGAGGAGGAGGGGAAGGGAAGGAGGAGGAGGAGGCGGGAGGAGCAGGAGAAGGAGGAGGAGGAGGAGGCGGAGGCGGAGGCGGAAGGAGGAGAAGGCAGAGGCGGGAGGGGTAGGCGGAGGCGGAGGCGGAAGGAGGAGAAGGCGGAGGCGGGAGCGTAGGAGGAGGAGGAGGAGGAGGAGGCAGCTCTGCGCCGGGTTTCGTTCGGCTTCCGGGAGGCAAGTGTGATGGTGAGCAAGTTTTGGAGGACGAGGAGGAGGGAGGAGGAGGCAGGAGGAGGAGAAGGAGGAAGGGCCAGTGTAAACCCAAGAGTCACCAACGATGTTGGAATGTATCTTCCCTCCAAACTCCCTCTTCATAGGCCCCTACAACGCTTCATTGTCATTGTGGGAACTGCCTCGTTGAAAGACAACCGTTTGAAGATCCTGAAGCATACCAACAAATTGCTCTCGGAATTTCAGCGTCACGGATCAACCTGACTGCTGCGTCTTGACGATCCGGAATCGTGCCAGAACGCTTTCTGGGAGCTCAACAACGCGAACAAACATAATTGGTGCACCCGCGTAATCCTGAATCCTTCCAACACACCACTTCTCTTTCATTGACCATGGGAATCATTGCAACTCTTGCAAACGTTTCAAACGAATGTGCGCGGCGCTAGGGCGAGAGCCTCATTTTGAAAACGACCCGCCTCAATCCGTGAAGCTCTTGCAAATTGTTAAAACGAATGTGCGCTGCGCTAGGGCGAGAGCCATATTTTGAAAGCGACCCGCCCTCAATCCGTGAAGCTCTTGCAACTTTTGAAAACGAATGTGCGCGGCGCAGAGGCGAGAGCCACATTTTGAAAAGGAGCCGCCCTCAATCCGTGCAACTCTTGCAACTTTTGAAAACGAATGTGCGCGGCGCAGAGGCGAGAGCCACATTTTGAAAAGGAGCCGCCCTCAACCCGTGAAGCTCTTACACATTGTGGAAAATAATGTGCGAGGCGCTGAGGCGAGAGCCACATTTTGAAAACGACCCGCCCTCCATTTGCGAAACGGTCGTCACTTTTTAAGCTTCAGAGTCATATATGGTGAGGAAGTCTCTGGCGAAACGCCCGGCCCGCCTTAAAAAATCGCCTCTGGGTGCGACATTGATGAGGAAGGGGAATGGAGGAGAAGGAGAAGGTGGAGGAGGAGGAGGAGGAGGAGGAGGAGGAGAAGGAGGAGGAGGAGGAGGAGGGAGGAGGCGGAGGCGGGGGAGGCGGAGGCTGAGGCGCAGGAGGAGGATGAAGCAGGGCGGCAGGAGGCCTCCTTGAGGGCTTGGCGACTCTTCTCCGATCGACCTGCGGTGGTCAAGCAGCGAAGATCGAGGTATACTCTGGATGGGGCAATACTCGCCCCCCCCACCCCCGTTGGATCCGCTGGGGGGTTGGGCACGTGCTGTCGTAACGGTCGGAGGGGAGGGTTGGAGGAGGATGAGGAGGCGCAGGAGGAGAAGCAGGAGGGGGAGGAGGAGGAGGAGAAGGAGGAAGAGGAGGAGGAGGAGGAGGCGGTGGCGGACGGGGCGATGGACAAGCTCCGTCGGAAGGTTAGTCGTCCACCCCTCGGTTAATATCCCACCGAGAGCACCTGCATGGCTCTGAGATGTCCGGATGGGGCGTCCCAGAAGAGGCCTAGCCTTCGAGGGCCGAAACAGTCGCCATCTCCTCCTCGCGGAAGGCGGCGGAAGGGCGGCGGAAGGACGGCGGGAGCAACGCGAGGCCGCTTTTGCCGGCGGAAGCCAGCGGAAGGTAGGCGGAAGGCGGCGGTAGGGTTTCTGGAGTCCGCCAGATACGCCCCCGCGCGTCGTCGTCGTCGTCGTCGTCGTCATCGTTGTGGTCATGTTCGTGGTCGTGGTGGTGGTGGTCGCGGTCGTGGTCGTGGTGGTGGTCGTGGTCGTCAACGTCGTCGTCGTCGTCGTCTTGTCGTCGTCGTGGAAGCTGTGGCGCGAGGCGAGGCACAGCAGAGGCCTTCACGGCCAGGAGCGCTCTGGCCTGGCGCGTCGCACCGCCAGCTCTGGACCACCACGCTTCGGCACCACACGCTGACGACATAGACGACGCCATAGACGACGCCATAGACGACGACGACGACGACGACCACGACGACGACGACGACGACGACGACGACGACGACGACGACGACGACGACGACGACGACGACGACGACGACGACGACCACGACCACGACGACGATGACGACATAGGCGACGACATCGGCGACGACATAGACGACCGCGTCCCGGCCCCGCGGCGTCCCCGTCACGAGCTTCTCCCCGCCCCCCGCGGAGCGGAGCGGAGCGACATGCCTGCCGCGTCGCAGCGGCCGCCGCCGCGACGCGTTGGGCAGCGGTGTTTGACCGTGAGCCTCCCTCCCCCGCCCTGCCGGCCTGGCCGCCCGGCCGCCAGGTCCTACCAGCGAGGCCCCGAGCCCTATGAGAGCCCCGGCACGTCTGGAGGCGCCGCCGTGCCCATCCCTTTCTTCCGCATCGTCGTCGTCGTCGTCATCATCAGCATCATCATCATCATCATCATCATCATCATCAACATCATCATCATGATGATCAGCATCATCATCATCATCATCATCATCAGCATTATCATCATCATAATCAACACCATCATAATCATCATCATCATCATCATCATCATCATCATCATCATCATGATCAGCATCATCATCATCATCAGCATCATCAGCATCATCATCAGCATCATCATCATCAGCAGCAGCAGCATCAGCATCATCATCAGCATCATCATCAGCATCTTCATCTTCATCTTCATCTTCATCATCAGCAGCATCAGCATCATCATCAGCATCATCAGCATCAGCATCAGCATCAGCATCAGCAGCATCATCATCATCATCATCATCAGCAGCAGCATCATCATCATCATTCGGAGGTTGGGGGGTGAGATCGAAGTGGAACGGAGAGCCCCCCTACCGGGAAATCGATTTCGGTTTCGTGTTCGTGCGTGCCGTGCGGGCGAGGCGAAGCTGCGTGGGCGGGCGAGAGAAAGTCTCCTGTGGCTGAGGCGCGGCCGGAGCAAAAGAACCATGACCCGGCGGCCGGTGCCCCGCGGTGTCCCGCCGGTGTCCCGCTGGTGTCCCGTGTGGCTGAGGCGCGGCCGGGGCAAAAGAACCTTGACCGGGCGGCCGCTGCCGCGCGGTGTCCCGCCGGTGTCCCGCTGGTGTCCCTTCGGTGTCCCGTCGGTGTCCCGATGATGACGTGGATGATTATGATGATGATGATGATGATGATGATGATGATGATGATGATGATGATGATGATGATGGTGATGATGATGATGATGATGATGATGGTGATGATGATGATGATGATGATGATGGTGATGCTGATGGCGATATGATGATGATGACGTCGATTGTGAGATCGATTGTGGTATCGATAGTGAGACCGAATGCGAGATCGATTGTGCGATGCTGATGGTGATGATGGCCATGATGGTGATGATGATTGTGATGATGATTGTGAGCGGCAACGCAACTATCTCCACTGGCATTGTCACAACAACATTCACCACTGTTGCCCATTGCTGAGCCCCCCCCCAACCTCCTTATCACCCGCAGGGTGGTCGTATAGGTATCATTATCATTATCGTTATCATCAGCAGCATCTTCATCATCAGCATTATCACCATCAGCATCAGCATCAGCAGCATAATCATCATCATCACCATGACCATCATCATCAGCATCATCATTATCATCGTCATCATCATCGTGAGCATCATCATCATCTCCCGTCTCCTCCACCTCCTGCCTCGTGCTGCCCTCCCCGACGACGCCGCCGCTGACGCCGACGACGACGCCGACGACGATGACGAGGACGACGCCGATGCCGACGCCGACGTCGACGCCGACGCCGATGCCGATGACGAGGACGACGCCGACTCCGACGACGACGACGAGGAGGACAAGGACGAGGAGGAGGTCGAGGAGGAGGCGGAAGAGCAGGACGACGACGACCACGACGACCACGACGGCGGCGCTTCTCGACGACGCGACGGAGGCGACGACCGCGACGACGACGGCGTCGGCGACGCCGCCGACCGCGGTGGCGGCTGCGGCGGCGACAGCGGCGACGGCGCCGTAGGCGACGGCCGTGCAGGCCTTTTCTCTGGCTCGACGCCCAGATCCCGCCTCGCAGCCCTCTCCCACCGGTGCCCGCCGCCCCGCCTGCGGCGCCGGCCCGCTGCAGGCGGCCGCCTCTGGCAGCCGCGGAAGGAAGCGGGCCCTGGACGGGGCGGGCCCAGACATCCGGCACCCTGAACATGTCCGGCGTTTCGCCATGTGGTGGGGGGAGGGCGGTGCGTCGTCGTCGTCGTCGTCTCCGTCGCCGTCGTCGTCGTCGCCGTCGTCGTCGTCGTCGCCGTCGTCGTCACCGTCGTCGTCACCGTCGTCGTCGTCGTCGTCGTCGTTATCGTCGTCGACCTTGTCGTCCTCGTCGTCGTTGTCGTCGTCGTCATGTGGAGAGCGTTTCGTCATGTGGGGGGGCGGTACTCGTCGGACGGGAAAAGGACGAGGATAAGTCTGTTCCAGAGCGTCCCGGAACACTCTAAGAGGCCCTCAGGAGCGCTCTGAGAAAACCGCGTCGCCCGAGGCATCCCCAGAGTCGCCGGATCTCCGAGATGTTCGATGTATCCTCGTCCTCGCCCGATTCTACCCTCGCCCGATTTTACCCTCGCCCGACGTTATCTTCACCCGATGTTGTCCTCGTCCTGGCTAAACGCGGTGGCGGGGTCGAGGGTTGCAGGCCAGGTGATCCCCGAAGACCAGCGCTGCAGGCGCTTGCTGGGGCCCCGAAGGTGCACGAGAGGTGCACCGTCTTGCACCCCCGCGTGTGATGTCCCCTATCAAGGAACGCCCAGACAAAAGATCAAGGCCCCGACCGCCGCCTGGGGTATCGTCCTTCGGAGACCTCGGCAAGCGGTGGATATGGATACATATATATATATATGTATGTATATATGTACACATACATACATACATACATACATACATACATACATACATACATACATACATACATGCATACATACATACATACATACATACATACATACATACATACATGCGTGCGTGCGTGCGTGCATGCATGCATGCATGCATGCATGCGTACATACATACATACATACATGCATGCATACATACATACATACATACATACATACATACATACATACATACATACGCATATGTATATGGATGGATGTATGCCTGTCTGTCTGTATGCCGGTCTGTCTGCATGTATGTAGGTATGTATGAATGCGTATATAAGAATTATGTATGTATGTTCATAACTATGTATTTATGTATGTGTGTATGCGTGTACGCGCGTACGTACGTATGTACGCATGCACGTATGCACGTGTGTACGCAGGTACGTGTGTGCGTCGGTGCGTATGTGCGTATGTACGTATGCACGTATATACGTATACATGTATGTGCGAACATATGTAGATATGTATGTGTATGTGTGTATCTATGCATGCATGCATGTATGCATGTATGCATGTATGCATATATGCATGCATATATGTATTATGCGTGTGTTTATGTATGTATATAAATATATGGCCATCGGCTTCCCCCAACTAACATACATCTCATCTGGAATCATATTCATCCTCACGCCCCCCTTATTCATATTTACCGCATGCGTCTCCATCATGTCCTCGCATTCTCCCTCTCCCTCTCGTCTTCCACGACTCTCCAGTCGCTCAACCCTGCGGGGCTCGTGTCACTGGCGCTGAACCTTCGGTGCTCGTGCCAGGGAAGCTTCGAGCGCCGGGCCCTCCGGGGCTTCGTGCTCCTAGCCTCATCGGCGCCAAACCCTTCGGGGCTCGTGCCGCGGGGCCTGTTGGTCTACGCAGTTTTTTTTTTCGCGTCGCCGAAGCAGAAAACTGTGCATGCTTCGAACTGCTGCGTCTGGATCCCAGGGCCCTCCGAGGGGGTTTCTTCGGGCCTCGTGAAGTTGAGGTGTCGGGTGCGGTTCCTCGGGGACGTGCTTCGGCGCGCACTCACTGGAGGCAGGAGGGGTGAGGAGGAGGAGGAGGAGGGGGAGGAGGAGGAGGAGGAGGAGGAGGAGGGGTGAGGAGGAGGAGGAGGAGGAGGAGGAGGAGGTCACGACTAAAGATGGCATCAGCCCTCCTCCCTCCTCGTCTCATCCTTATAGCGCGCAGTGCATAGTGACAAGGCTTTGGATGGCCATCCGAAGCCGTCCTCCGGTCTTCCGGTAACGATCGAGCATCTTCGGAGATTGAGAACCATCCGGACATCTCCGAAGCCCTTTGTCGACGTCCAAGGCCTCACGCCCGAAAACATTCGAATACCTTGCTCCAGAACGCTCTTCACCGCAGCGGCCTTCCTCCTGCATCTACTTCCTCCCTCCAGATGTCTCTCCTCCCGCCTCCTCCTCGTCCTCCTCTTCCTCCTGCTCTCCCTTGCCCTAGTCGTCGCAACTTACGGGTGTGTACGGACGTCGTGCGAAAGTGTAGACTTGAGCAGCACGATGCTGAACGTGCAGAGTTCGCAGCGCGGTGCGACACGCCACCAGCACACGCCAGGCTCGGGCTCGGAAGAGGGGGGTGCACGCCGCAGAGTGTTTTGCGCGCGCTCCCGCTCCCCAGCCGCGTCGGCAGCGCGCTCAGTGCTCTCGTTACAGCCGGACCGAGGCATAACTTGGCATCGCTCGGACGTGTGCATTTTTTCCTTCGGCCAGGACCATCGAGGAGCATCCTTGATCATTTGGCGAAAAAGCCACGCACGAAACAGAGAGAAGCACAGGGAATGGACGTCCGAGCGATGGCCACATAAGGAGACCAGGCCGAGGTCGGCTCGTGCAGGGTGCCCTCGTGCTCTGCGTGCTGGTTGGCTGTGCTCCTGCAGCCCGGGGAGGTGCCCTCTCGGGTGCTCTGCCGGTGCTGGCCGACGGGGGGCCTCGCGTTCTCGGGGGCGCGGTTCGCCTGGCCGAGGTCCGACCACACCGTTGCCTGCAGCATGCACCGCAGCTCCTGCCCGAGGAGGAGGAGGAGGAGGAGGAGGAGGAGGAGGAGGAGGAGGAGGAGGAGGACGAGGACAAGGAGGAGGAGGAGGAGGAGGAGGAGGAGGAGGAGGAGGAGGAGGAGGAACAGGAGGAGGAGGAGGAAGTAGCGCTGGGCGCATGCCGATGTGCCCCCAGAGGGGTCGCAGGGCTCCCTCTGGAGCCGGGTGCCCCTTCTGAAGCCTCCTGGGGCCTCCTGGGGCATCCTTAGGCCTCCCGGGGCCTCCTAGGGCTTCCTGGGGTCTCCTGGGTCCTCCTGGGGCGTCCTGAAACCTTCTCGGCGCTGGAAAAACAGACAACAACACAAGGAAGCACCGAACAAACACCAGAAACCCAAGTCCCAGGGCAGAAGGAACAACACGCAACACGAGGAACCACGAACAACGCGA